CCTACTTAAGAGGGAGGCCATTATTATTAATAACTTGGAGCAAGGCTGTAAATTCAGCCGATGCAGCTATTATGGGAAACGGAACTGCTCCTGTGCTGGCCCCACAGACCAAAGGTGCCCAGTGTGCGATGGGGATGGATGAGTGAGGACCACGTCCCTGTGCCCAGCTGCAGGACCTCTGGCAGTGCCTGGCTGCAATGTGTGCATGGGAACAGGCCAGCTTTTATGGGAAGTGTGGGGCTGTGTGCGGTGCATGGGGCGTCTCCTTTACACAGAGGGATGTGGCTGGGGTTGGGCGCTGGGCTGAGACCTGGCTGCAGCTCGGGACAGGGGTTGCACAGCCTGTGGGGACCCCGTTGGTGGCTGCCTGTCAAGGATCATTGGGGAGCTGTTACACATTCACAAAAGAGACTTGAAAAATTACCCCATGCGACTCCAGCAGCCATCAGCCAGCTCAGCAAAAGGAACAGATTCCACTTGGGATCATTTTACATCCCTCATTTCCATCCTGTGCTGCAGCACAGCCGGCAGGATCCCATCCAGGGCCCCTGTAGGTGCCAACCCCATGGGCCAGGGGCTGGAGCAGGGGGTGCAGGGGGGTGCACGGGGCTGTGGGCTCATAGTGCTGCCTGCGCCCAGCTTGGAGCTTCTGCGGGGGAACGAGCTTTGATATAAATATCTTTTTGCTCAGCACACGACCTACTTTCCAGACAATGCCATTAGCCTCTCGACTCCCCCATTCATCTTCCACTGTCCTTCCCTCTCTCGCGTCCCTGCGCCGCTCTGCGCACCCACTGAGTGGGGAGGAAGGATGTGCGCACCGGGTGGCACCATGGGGACCCTGTGCTGGGGCCACCAACTGTCCCCTGGGCCGCAGAGGCTGTGTGCCTGGCCCCTGACCTTGATCCTGCTTTGCAGAGGGGTCCTGGTTCTCTTTAGGGCTTTTCCATCCCACCCCAGAGGGTGCTCAGCTCTGATTGTCCCTTGCTCCTGTCCCCAGCTCCAGTCACTGTGCCCTGGATGGCAAACAGCCTCCTCCAGGGACAGCTTCATCAAGGATGAAAGGAAGCACGGCAAAGCAGGAGGCAGCCAAGTGTCATCCCTGAGCTGGCTCACAGGCTGGGGGTCAGGAGGTACCCAGGAGCACCCCAAGCACCAGGGCTGTGCGTGGATGTCATCAGTGTGATCCCTGGGGAATGGCCTCGTGGCTGTCCAGGCTGTGCCCTGCGGCACCCGCTCACCTCCGTGTGCTGCTCGGGCTCAGTCCCCCACAGCTAAAATTAAATATGCAATTTGTATTGCTGGTAAATCCTGTAAATCTCTTTTATCTCTAAGCTCTTGTCGCAGGACTCTCAGGGGTGTAATCTCCGCAGCCCCTCGTGCTGCCCTTTGCAGCTCACTATCTCACTGCTCTCCCCTTCCCTCAGCCACGGTGGGACGCTCAGGGGCTGCAGCACAGCAGGATGCAGGGTGAGCTGAGCACCCCATGCGCAGCTCAGCCTGACCCCGTGCCACCCCCATACTGCTCGCAATGGGGACACCGACCCCATTCTCTTGGCACGGGGCTGTGCTGTGCCTGGTGCTCATGTCCCCCCCAGCCCATGTGCTCTGCCCCCACTCTTAAGAGCATTGTGCAGAATTATGTATTTAAATATTTAGGTTTTCATCAGCTTTGCAAATTAAGCCCATCGATTAAAGCGGCAGTTCAGGCCCTTACTGGTGAGCGGTGCTGCGCTCTGCTCGGGGCAATCTGCCCTCACCCCATCATGGGGCTGCAGCTAAAGATGGGGTGCAGTGGCACACGATGTCCTTTGGTGGGGACAGCAGGATGGTTGTTGCACATTCGCAGGGGCTGCTTGCTGGAAATGGCATCGTGAGCTGCAGAACAGGGCCGGTGCTGCAAAGTTAATGGGTTTTTTTGGGTGGCATTTGAGGTCGGGGCAGAGGATGGCGTGTGATGGGGGAAGCAGACCAGAGAGCAGCCCCTTGGCACGGCTGCGTGCCCTGAGCTCGTGAAAGCTGCTTTGAAGTGATCCCCAGCTTAAGTCATTACACTGCGTGGTTGGGGAGATAAGTGGCTTTGAAGCAGGCGCAGCACTTCCCTACGTCGGAAATGGGGTGAGCTGCAGCACAGGTGGAACAGAACTGCTGGAGTTCAAATGGTTCTGCTGCACACTTGTGAGGTTCCCCACATCCACGTCCCTGCAAAGAGCCCCCAGTGCAGGAGGACCACGGGACACAGCCTTCAGAGGGCACCGGGCTGGGTCAGCATGCCGCTGGGGGCACATCCTTTGCGTCCCCCCCCTTGGCTGTGCGTGAATATTGGGCACGTTGGCTTCCATCCTGCTGGGCCGAGGGAGCAAAGCTCTCTGTGGGCATTAGCAGCGACGGGCACGTGTTGGTGCGTGTGGGAGCCCCGTGCCATTGGTTTGTTGGTGGCACCGCAGGGCAGTGGCAGCGGCATCCTTCTGCTGTATGGTGAAAGGAGGGCTGAGCTGCAGGATCACCACCACGCACCGCTTCGCTGCACAGGTGCATTTCCTCCCTGGCAGCCCCTGTCCTAATTACTCACTCATCCTTAATTACTCACTCCTCCCGACACCCTGAGGCCTCTGTGCTGGTACCGTTGGTTGATCCATTGAGTGGAGCTGCGTGGCCTTGAGATGTCCCTACTGGGGAGCAGGGTTGTCCCCTGGCCCTCTCTGTCCCCTCCTGTATGCACGGTGGCTCCCGGTGTCCCCATGGGGCGTTTGTCACAGCTGTCTTCTTCCTGCCAGCCCCATCTGCTCCCATTTTTAGGGGTTTTGCTGCATGTGAAGCAGCTCGCTCACAAACCAGGGGTCTGCGAGGCTCCTTCCTCCTCCACACTGGGATTCTCCAGCCCCAGCACAAACCTGCCAGCTGCCCCTGGGTTCCAGCAATGGCACACAGCACCGGTGGGGAGCTGGCAGCCCTCTGCCCCCAGCTCCAGCAGCAGCAGCCAGCAGTGGCGGTGGGGATCCCGGTGCTGGCGGCCGTGCGGGATCCCCGGCAGCTGGGGCACGGCACGGCAGTATTTCCTCGCTCTACTCAAGGAGTAATTGCTCAGATGGGGACTTGGGGCAACTCCCATCCCTCTCCCGGCATGGTAATGAGTCAAGAAGCCTCAAAGACAAATGGCTCATTAAGAAGCAGTGCTGCATTGCAGGATTTTTCATCCCACCAACCGCTGCATCAGCAGAGGCAGTACCTTGCGCTCACTCTCCCCAGCGCTGGGAGAAGGAGCTGTCAGGCAACCGGCGCCGGTGCCAAAACTAATCATGTGCTTAATCAACGGCTCCCATCAAACAACCCGTCCTCGGCATCGGGAGTGGGTCGGATGGGAAGCACGGTGCTCAGTGCCACTCCTGGGGATCACCCCATCAGGGTCACCCCGGGGAGGCTGAGCAGCGCCCAGGGCTGGAGCAGCTCCTGCACTTCGTGGCACCACGTGGACGTGGGCAGCTCCAGCAGTGCTGCCCTGGGGCTGGGCTGAGCGCTGGCTCTGCACGTCCAGCCCTGCTCACATTTGTGGTTCTTCAGCTGATCTTTGTCCTCCGTGACTTTTTAAAAAAACACCCTCATTCCTTATTTACAGCCACGTGGTTCCCACCCCTCGCCACCCCTTCCCAGGCAGTTTCTGCTCTCTGCTTGTTGTTTCATTACCGGTAATTTGGTTTCTTGATTGCATTACGTTGGCTGTGATTTTTACATCCTGCTTGCTCTCTATCCCAGGTTGGCTTCTCTTGGGGCTCCTCTGGATGTCTATCCGAGCACTGCTGGGATCACAGAGCCCTGCACAGAACAAAGCCCTCTCAGGCAGCCCCAAACCCTGCTCTCCCAGCTGTGCTCGGTGCCGTCCCTCTGCTCCCAGCTCCCAGCCAACCTTTCTCCATCTGCACGTTGCTGCATGACGGATATTGTGCTGCCATCAGGAGCCAGCGCTGCTCCTGCCCTGCTCAGCCAGTCAGGGCCAGTGTGGGCTCTGGGAATGGGAGGTGGTCTGCAGCTCCATGAAGCCAAGTAGGGTCGCTCTCCCCCTTCCTTGCAAAGTAATTACTTCCAGGAACAGCAAACTTCTGACTAATTACACTCTCTCTCTCCGGCCTGACGCAACTAATGAAATATCTGTGAGCTGCTTTCAGCTAATTCCACTTTTAAGAAAGTAATTACTTGATGCAGAATTACGCACTAAATTAGGTGATTCCTTTCCCAGCACTCCCCCTCCCCTTTTTCTTTTTTTTTTTTTTTAGGCTGAGTAAATTTTATTAATAAGGCCTAATAAAATAACGGACTAATTAGTAATGAAATAAAATATTTGCTTTCTGCAATCCTTCTCGCTTACAACCGGTTGGGGAAAAAGTAAATAGATGAAAGGCATGGTGGAAGCGACCTGGCGCTATTCCGTATTTATTTTCATCCAACGACTGTAGATCAAATTTGCTCAGCTCTGAAGTGGGAAGAGCGTTATTTTTTTTCAGGCTCCAGCTCGCACGCGGTGCCGGGAGCTCAAGCTGCGTGTTTGTTCTCTCTTACTTTCATCACAAGCCATAAAAATCCCCAGCAGGAACCGCGCTGGCAAACTTGTCGCTAATTTGCAAAGCAGAATGGACCGGGCTCACTGCGCACCTCCGCCGGGCGAGCGGCTGCACAAAACCACTCTGCTCTTGCTGGTGGCAGGAGGAGCCTTTGTGGAGCATATGGACGGCTCCAGTGCAAATCAAAGTCAGTGCTGAGGCAGCTGCTGGGCAGCTCCGGCACCCGCTGGCAGGGAATTGCATAAGAGGATGTGGCTGGGGATGGGTTCGGGGCGTTGCTGCGCCAAACGTGCAGGGCTGTGCTGGCCGTGGTGGAGGGAAGGATGCGGTGCTAAAAAGCCGCAGGGATTTGGGTCAGGCTCTGTTTGGGGACGACCACCTCTTCCTTTTTGTGCTTCATCTCCCTGCAGAACTTTCGCCCCGGGACGCGCTGCTGGAGGGGACGTCGGGCTGTAAGGACATGAGGACGTGAGGACAGCATCCCTCTGAGTGCCGGGCGGTGAGTGCTGGGATGCTGGCTTTTGGGATTGGACCTGAAAATGTGGGAAAAAAACTCATTCTGTGGGGTCGTGGATCAGTGGGTATGTGTTCAGTGGGTGTAGTGGGTATGGATTCTGTGGGCATAGTGGGCATGGGTCGGCGGTTGGACTTGATCTTAGAGGTCTTTTCCAACCTCAGCAATTCTATGATTCCAACATTGTGTCAGACCTGAGCGTTGCAGTGCTGTTTGCGATCCTGTCCCCTTCCCACTGGGGCTGCAGGGGTCTGGGCTCTGTGGGGACTGCACCACATCCCGGCAGCCCTCGGCATCATCGTGGCATTGCCGAGGCTGAGATCTCACCGTGCTGTGCTGGGAAGCAGAACTTGTCTCTGCTAAAGGCCCCGGTGGGAAATCAAGCAGGGAGGTGGAATTTGGGTGAGCCCCACAGTGCCTGGGGTGATGGGTCCCAGTCCGCCCGCCGCTGACCCTGGAGTGGGGAGAAATTGCCGCAAAAGCAAAAGTCAGAAGGAGGTTGGTGGCGGGGGAATTGCTGATGGGAGTTTCTCCAGGCTTTGGATGCAATAAAGGCAAGAAGTGAGTTATTTGTAATGGTAATTACGCTCTTCCAGTTTATCCTAGCACATAATTGTGTGGGCGGTAGGTTCCCAATGGTGGTAATTACCCTGGTGTTAAATGGCACAAAATTCAGACGGGTGCTGGGTTTTTTTCCCTTTTCTGAATCTGCGATGGGACGAGGGGATGGCAGCATTCCCTTGGGTCCCTGCATGGGCAGCACAGCAGTGACCCAGACACATGGTCCATGCTGAGACCCACAGGAGTGCTCCATCTCCATCTCCCTCTCCATCTCCATCCCTGTCCCCATCCCACTGCTAGTGGCTGCAGAAAAGCTGTAGCACTGCTTCGACAGCATGCTGCTTTGTTTAATTCCTCCCATTCCTGAGCATAAAAGCCCACCTGGCTCCTAATAACAGGCTGCTCAGCTGTTTTGACTCCTTCTTCCCAATGCCATGGCAATATTTGCTTCAGCTGAGCACTTCCCTCAATGAACATGAGATGATAACTCAGACCAAGGCAGAGGCGGGGCTGGGAGGGATCCTACAGCCACTACCCATCTGTCTGTCTGTCTGTCTGTCCGTCCCCCCGTCCGTCCGTCCATCCACCCCTCCGTCCTGCTGCTGACTGCCCACCTGTTCCCACACCCCCCCAGCTGCTTGCCTGTGCCTCATTCCAGCTCTCCCAGGAGAGCAGAGGCATTTCTTCTTCCAGCAGGCTGCTGCTTCCTTCGTTTAAGATGCAGCAATTAGGGAGCCTCGTTAGAGCTGGAGTGAGACTGTGAGGGCGGGAGGGAGATGAGCAGGGCCATATGATGCAGCCTTGATGTTAGGAAGAAAGGCAAGGGGAGAAGCTTGGGGGTGGCTGGGGGATGCTCCCTGTTGCCACCAGTGCCTGCAGCCACCGGACCATGCTGTACTCAGAGGTGTTGAGTCCCCATGCCCTCCTGGTGTTCCGTGGGCACAGTTTGTATGTCTCAGTGCACCCCAGGGGTTCCTCATTTTCTCCCTCCTGCTCCCCATCCAATTGCTCAATGTGGCCCCCCAGGGCTGCTTGTCCCTGCTGTCCCATGTCCCCAAGTGTTGTCCCCAGGCATGTCACCATGGCTGCTCCACCTCTCCTGAGCCTGATCGCAGAGCTGGGGTGCCCACGGCACCCTCCCTAAGTATGATAACAAGGCTGTTAATTGACGCCTGTTAATTAGCTGAGCTACTCTGGAGAGTAAGTAATTTCCTCGTTTATAGACATACCCAAGGCAGAGCCTTTGAGGGGCTGTAAGGAAGATAAACTCCTGTGGGGCACACATCTCTGGGGGTCTCTGTGGCCCTGCATGGCATCTGGGGACACAGTGAGGACAGAGCCAGTCCTGGGGCTGCCATCAGAGGGGGCTGATGTGATGCCCTGCGTTTTGCTTCAGAAATGATTAAATGAGAGCTATGTGTGTGTGTGGTGGCAATGCGTGGGGATGGCTTTCCTTGCTCCTTGTCTTTGCTGCTAGTGGGCACGTGGTGGTGGAGGATGGCATTGGAGGAATGTGAGGTGTCAATACACAGTGGAATGGTGGGAGGATGGGCGGGTTGGAGATGTCAGCATGGAGCAGCTCCCCCCCGGCCCCCCGCTTCAGCTCATTAGTGGCTCTGTGAATCGCAACGGCTGGAAAATGCAGCCAGAACTGTTTTCCTAATGGAAAAGCACGTCATAATATTTGGTGCCAGGGAAGAAAACAAGTTTCTTATGATGTCGAAATGTCCTCCTGCATTAAGGATCTGCTTTGAATGCTTTGAGGCAGGCTGCTGCTTTTCCTTAGAAATCCCTGTGGTTTGGCATCCCCTCGGGCAGCCTAGCGCCCTGGGTGGGGCTGGGGGGCCCAGCAAGGCTGGATCCTGCCATGGGTGCTTCCTGACCCCGTGCAGCCAGAACGCTTTACCTGCTTAGCAATGGGGGTTTGGGCAGCTGGATGGGAGCATGACAGTTTGCCCTTGCCTGTCCCCGCAGGTGAGCCCGCAGGGAAAGCCCTGCAGGATGCCGAGGCTACGGGGCAGGTGCTGACACCATGAAGGGCTACCATGGGGAGCGTAGCCAGACACAGCACTCCTCCGGCCACCGCTGCCGCTGCATCCCAGAGGACTGCGAGCATCCCGCTGACTACATCCCCCACGGCCCCGACGGCCACCCGCCTTACCTGCTCAGCCCCAGCGAGCCGTGTTCCCTGGAGCATCCCTTCTGCCCGGTGCGGAGCCCCGGCACGGCCGGCGAGTGCGGTCCCCTGAGCGATCCGCCCTCCGGCAGCGCCAGCAGCACCTTCCCGAGGATGCACCACGCGCAGCAGCATCAGCCCTACGACTCCTGCGACGAATGCATGGCGACCGCCCACCCCTCCAGCAAGATCAACCGCCTGCCCCCAACGCTGCTGGACCAGTTCGAGAAGCAGCTGCCGCTGCACCACGACGGCTTCCACACTCTGCAGTACCCGCGGGCCGGCGGCGCCGAGCCGCGCAGCGAGAGCCCCAGCCGCATCCGCCACCTCGTCCACTCCGTGCAGAAGCTCTTTGCCAAGTCGCACTCCCTGGAGGCGCCCGCCAAGCGGGATTACAACGACACCAAGATGGACGGCCGCGGGGACGGCTACCACCACCACCACCACCATCACCACCACCACCACCACCAGTCCCGCCACGGCAAGCGTAGCAAGAGCAAGGATCGCAAGGTGGATTCCCGGCACCGGTCCAAGATGATGGGCTGGTGGAGCTCCGACGACAACCTGGACAGCGACAGCAGCTACATGGTGTCTGGCCGGCACGCCGTGGACCAGGGCACCCAGTACTGCGTGGACGCTCCCGAAAGTGCCTTCAGAGACTTGACCTTGAAGAATCTAAAGAGCGGCGGGGAAGGGAAATGCTTGGCGTGTGCTGGGATGTCCATGTCTCTGGATGGACAGACGGTCAAGAGGAGCGCCTGGCACACCATGACCGTCAGCCAAGCCCGCGAAGCCTACCCCAGCGCCAGCGGCACGGAGAAAACCTTGATGCTTCAGGAGACAAAGGCCAAAGACAGAGCCTACCAGTACCTGCAGGTGAGGGGGACAGGCAGGGCAGGTGCTGCTGTCCCACAGGACTGTGGTTGGTGATGCCATAGAGATGCCCTGGGGTGAGCTGGGACCGTGTCTCTGCATCCTGATGGTTTGGGGTGGTGTGGGGCCATGCCATCTCCACGGGTTGCTGATGTCCTCAATCCTTGCAGGGTTCCTTGCAGGGTTCCTTGCAGGTGGCACTAAGTTCCTCTGCCATCTTCTGGTCCATGGGTTCGGGTCAAGGCAGCTCTAGCTGCGCAGGCTCCTCGCAGCCCTCTGCCCTCTCCCTCTTTTGGGCTTTTATCTTTCCTGCGCCTGGCCCAGTGCCACCGCCAGTCCCATCACGTCACCAGGCTCCCTTCTAGGTCACCTCCCTTCTAATTAAAAGCTAATTAACTCTTCGCTCCCTTTCCTGGGGGAAGGAGACAGGGAGAAACAACACTGGGGTGGCTGGCAGCAGGGGGTATCAGGACAGAGTGCCAGCATCCTGCGTGGCCTGGGGACAACATTGTGCCACAGCAGCTTGGTAAGGGCCTGTGGCAGCAGCACAGCCACACTGACATGGGTGGGATTTGGCCTGGCCGTGACTGCCAGGAGGGCCACAAGGTGGGAAGACGCAAGCAGGGGACACAGCTGGGACTGCCAGCAGGGATCTACCCTCCTGGTTTTGCGGCAGGGAGGGTGGAAGAGTGGTGCCGGGCTCGGGCTGTTGTGTGCCACTGTGCATACCCACACACCCCCCCAACCCCAGGTGCCGCAGGACGAGTGGAGTGGGTACCCGGCGGTGGGCAAGGACGGGGAGATCCCCTGCCGGAGGATGCGCAGTGGCAGCTACATCAAGGCCATGGGCGACGAGGACAGCGCCGATTCAGATGCCAGCGCCAAAGTGTCGCCCCGGGCGGCCACACGGAGAGACAGCTACCGCCGCTCCTCCAGCGCCGACCAGGCCAGGAGCAAGTAAGGGTGCTGCTGGGCTGCGGGAGGGAGCCGGGCTGCAGCTACGTACACAGAAAGGGCACAATGGCAGGGAGATTCCCAAATACCGGCAGTGTCCTTGTCCCCACTGCACGTAGCATGGAATTTCTGCTCTCCTGATGGCTCTGTACCAGTGGCACCCAGGATGGATTTTTGGGTTGGTGATGACCCTGTGCTGGGCACCTGCTGTCTCTGCAATGTGCCGGCTGCCAGGAGCTCTGGCTGCAGCTGCACTCTGCCTGCATGGGTGCAGAACCCCAGTGGGGACCTTGCATGCGCCTTTCTGCCACCGCTTGTGCACGGAGCCCTGCACGGCAGCACCCTGCCAGGGGCTGCTCCACCTCGGGGCTGGCACAGGGAGCCTCCTCTGAGCATCTCCGTGCCAAACCCGAGCAGAGGGCAAAGCGCCAGGCAGGCACATGGAGCACGACTATTTTGGAGAGCTGTGTTCAGCCCCACCTGCGGCAGCTCTGGGGAGCCCCCAGCCCTGCCAGGAGAGTGGGGGCAGTGGGAAGGGCTCTGTGCAAGAGCTGCAGTGGACAAGTGGGGCTTGTGGGACCATTGCTGCGGCTGCATTTCCAAATGCTCGGCTTGACTGTGTTGCTTTTGGTGCCATCCCTTCTATTCCCACTGTCTCTCATTAGGTTTGCAAGTAGGCACTATTCTGATTCATATATCTGTAACTGTCCCAGCTGCGGTGTGCCACCTCGAATGCTCCCTCGGGGGCAGGGCTACGGGCGCTCCTTCACCACTGGCCAGGTAGGGTCCCCGTCCCAGCCGGCACCTGGCACTGTGCTGGGGCCACGGATCTGTCCCCACACCAGGGCAGAGAGTGGATGCTGTGGATGCCACCCCAACCATCACCCACTGCTCTCTGCAGATCAATGATGAGCTCAACCACCAATTTGAGGCTGTGTGTGAGTCTGTTTTTGGTGAGGTGGAGTCGCAAGCCGTGGAGGCTCTGGACCTGCCCGGCTGCTTCCGCATGCGGAGCCACAGCTACCTGCGGGCCATCCAGGCGGGCTGCTCCCAGGACGACGACTGCCTCTCGCTCTTCTCCATGTCAGCCCCCGCTGGGCCGCCCATCACCAGCAGCATCCTGAAGCCTGGCACCTGTGAGTCCTGGGGGTGGTGAGGGATTGGTAGCAGGAGGGTCCCCATGCAGCCCCGCCTGCACTGAGCCCCGTGCAGCCACACCTCGCTCATGGCTCGGCCGCACCATGGGATGCCCCCCACCTTGCCCCCAGCATCCTTCTGCTGTCTTTCTTTCCCCATTCTTTGCTTCCCTTTGCTGCCCCTTGCTGCATGAATGGGTCTGGGCCGCTTTCCAGTCCCTTTCTGGGGCTAAATTGGCCAGATGACTGCTTAACGTCCTGCAGGGCTGCCCCATATTGGTGTCTGGGCTCCTTGTTGCGGAGGGGGTGGGTGCTGCTCCCCAGGGTGCCCGCTCGCGGTAGGAAATGAGCAAATTTTCTCTGTTTTCACCCACCTTTTCATCCTGCGCCTCTCCCACAACAGCCTTCAGTTACAGAAAAGCTCCACCTCCCATCCCTCCAGGAACCAAAGCCAAGCCCCTCATCTCCGTCACCGCGCAGAGCAGCACCGAGTCTGCTCACGAGAGCTACCTGCCCAGTGAGGTCACCCGCGGCCCCGCCTGGTCCAAAGATGCCGCGGCCCGCTGCAATTCAGCAGAGAGCCTGGAGAGCTCCAAGGTGACGGCCGTGTCCCTTGAACTGCCACCGGTGCAGCCCCGCACAGCCCCCAAGCCCTCCACGCTCATCATCAAGGCCATCCCCGGGCGGGAGGAGCTGCGCAGCTTGGCTCGGCAGAGGAAGTGGCGGCCGTCCATTGGTGTCCAGGTGGGCTTCATTCCTCCAGATGGGCTGAGATCTGGAGATCAGTCTGTCCGAGCCATGCTGAGTGTCTACCACTTGTCCCTTTGCTTCCAGTGTGCCTCTCTTATGGCCCTCATGTCAACGGCATGCTCACCACAGTGGCCCTAAAGCCACCTCCATGTCCACTGTGTGGCCTTAATGCCACCCTTGTGCCACCACAGTGGCCCTAATGCCACCCCTGTGCCCACCCACTCTCCTAACAGTGCAGCGTTCTCTGTCACTGGATGCCTATGGTATGGGGCCACTCTCCAGCATGCTCTCCCTCTGCCCCTGGCAGGTTGAGGCTGTCTCTGATTCGGATACGGAGAGCCGGAGCCAGAGGGAGTTCCACTCCATCGGGGTGCAGGTGGAGGAAGACAAAAGGTATGCCTTGCCAAGCTCCTTGGCCAGTGGCTTTCCCCAGTTGGATCCCTCCTGGGCTTTCTGAACTGACCCAGTTCCTGCCTGCATCGCTTTCTCTCATCTGATGCTCCCAGAGCTCAGCACCATCCCTATCCTGAGCCTTCTGTCCCCATAAGGAGCAGAATCTGGCCTTGGTGCTCACACTTCATTGCTTGTAAGGGACAGCCTGGGGAAGGGGATCCCCTGCTCCCACACTGTGTTGGGGTCTCGTTTACTGGGGTTCAGCTCAAAACCTGCACAGATGTGGGTGAAAACTCTGGGCTTTTCTGCAACAAAACATGAATTTTTGCATGGGTGGGCGTGCTGTGTGCTGGGACCTGCATGGTGCATGAGCAGATGAGCACTGGGAGCATGCCCACCCACCCTGGTGCACACTGCTCTGCATCCTCCAGCATCGTCCAGCACTGGTAGCCATGGAAACGGGCTAAGAGCACAGGAAATGAGGGACAGGAAAGATGCAGCTGCTCAGGGCTGTCCCTGCAGCCCCAAATACTGGGTGTCCCCAGCCCCAGGACGGTGCCCACAGGGGGACAGGAATGGTAGGGATGTCCTCGCTGGCCCCGTAGCTCCCAGCATCCTCACCACAACGACCCCACACGCTCTCTCTGTCCCAGGCGCGCCCGCTTCAAGCGTTCCAACAGCGTGACGGCGGGTGTGCAGGCAGACCTGGAGCTGGAGGGCTTCGCCGGGCTGGCCGTGGCCACTGAGGACAAAGCTCTGCAGTTTGGCCGCCCCTTCCAGCGGCACTCCTCGGAGCCCGAGTCCGGCCGGCAGTATGCAGTGTACAAAACGGTGCACACGCAGGGCCAGTGGGCTTACCGGGAGGACTACCAGATGCAGTACGATGCAGTGGAGGTGCCACGCCGTGATGCGTGGATGGAGCGGGGCTCCCGCAGCCTGCCTGACTCCGGCCGTGCCTCCCCCTGCCACCGCGATGGGGAATGGTTCATCAAACTGCTGCAGGCTGAGGTGGAGAAGATGGAGGGCTGGTGCCAGCAGATGGAGCGGGAGGCCGAGGACTACGACCTGCCGGAGGAGAGTGAGTGGGGCCGGGTACCCAGGGCTGCACCGCGCTGCTCTCACTTGGAGCATCTCGGTGGTGCCACCTGGCTCAGGGAGGGTCGAGAGGTTGGGATCAGTGTGGACGTCTCTGGGGATCCCAAATGGTGGAGCGGGGCCCTCATTGAGTGGTGGGGAGGGGATGCCTGTGTCCCCGTAGGAGATATGACTGTCTGCTTTCTGCCCGGCACCGCCAGTCCTGGAGAAGATCCGGAGCGCCGTGGGCAGTGCTCAGCTCCTCATGTCCCAGAAGGTGCAGCAGTTTTACCGACTCTGCCAGCAGAACATGGTGAGTGCCTGAACACCATCCTGGGATGTGCTGAGCCTGCGGCTGCTGGGGTGATGCCAGCACAGCGGGTGTCCTGCACGTGAAATGTGACCCACGTGGTCTCCCTCAATGTCCCCACAGGATCCCAACGCATTCCCAGTGCCCACCTTCCAAGACCTGGCCGGCTTCTGGGACCTGCTGCAGCTCTCCATTGAGGATGTCAGCATGAAGTTTGCAGAGCTCCAGCAGCTCAAGGCCAACGGGTGGAAGATCATTGAGCCCAAGGTAAGGGCAGGGCTCGCTAGGGGTGCGCAGGGCCGGTGCTGTGCACGTCCCTCCTTTCATTTCATCCCCAAGCACATCTGTGGCCAAACCACTGCTGTAGAGTTACCGCCAGCGGAGCCAGTGGGTGCTTTTAGCAAACACTTGAAAAACAAAGAACAGGAAAAAATGAGGCCATTCCTCTGCTGTGATATTGCAGCTGGATTCTGGGCAGTGCCGTGTGCCAAGGGCCAGGCACGATCCTGCACACGTGCAGCTGCAAGGAGGGATGCACAGCACTGCCTCATCTCATCGCTCTGACATCGGCAGGGGGGGGAAAGGAGGCTCAGGGCCGGTCCCACGCTCACCCTGAGGCTCTCCCACTGTCTGTGCAGGAGGAGAAGAAGGTGCCTCCCCCGATACCAAAGAAGCCGCCGCGCTCCAAGGTGCACCCGGTGAAGGAGCGCTCCCTGGACTCGGTGGACCGGCAGCGGCAGGAGGCACGCAAGCGGCTCCTGGCAGCCAAACGCGCCGCCTCCTTCCGCCAGAACTCGGCCACTGAGAGCGCAGACAGCATTGAGATTTACATCCCCGAGGCGCAGACCCGGCTGTGACCGCGGCCTCGGCTTTTCTACCCGGACTGGACGGCGCGTCCATCGCTCACTGTGATCAGGGGCCGTGGAGACACCCTGGGGGCAGCGCTTGGCCCGCTCACAGCTTCTCTCTTTTCTATCGTAGACGTTTCATGGATCCGACGGTGAATGAGCACCAACCCGGTTCTGCCCCATCCCGCTGCCCCCTGCTCGCATGCCCCTGCCCGTCTCTCCCAGGGTCCAGGGCTCTTCCTTCCCCCTGCCCTCTTTGGGGCCGTGTCTCAGCTCTTCTATCCTTGACCCCTCCTTGGTCCCTATCCCATCCAAAGGAGAGGTGACCCCAGCCCCCGGCCCTGCCGGGTGGGAGGGGATGGGGCCGCAGGCAGGCCCCCCCCACTTCTCTGTAACTCAGTGCAATCCCATGGCTGTGGGGACGAACCCCCGAGCCCCCAGCCCCATGCTCAGCTGGAGCCCTGCTCCGCTCCCTGCCTCCTGCCCCGGTGCTGTGGGGAACCCAGGAGTCCTCAACCTATATTCGTATATAAATATTACCTAAGGAATAAAACAGAAACTACACATGACCAGAGCTGTGTTCTGGAGGGCGGGATGGACCAGAGCAGCAGGTCCCCTGGTCCCAGTGAGCTGAACCTGCATCTCTCACACTGAGCAGCAGCACTGTGCTCTCCAAGCCCTTCCTGCCACTTTTCCCAGTCAGTTGCATGGGAACACCATGGGGACAGGGCAGTTGGTTCCCTTGCATCTTGCAGCCTGGGCACAGGTGTGTGAGCAAGGCAGCAGTGCTGGGGAGACCTTCCTACGCTTATGCAGGACCTTAGTGCAGGGACAGAGCAGGTATGGTGCTGCTGGCCGGGGCTGGCCTCGGTGTCCCCTGCACATGGGGACCGGGCTGTAGGTGTGGGGCAGGAGCTTCCCCCTGAGTGTGGGGCTGCTGGAAATCCCTCACAGGGTTATGCCTTCTCCCTGAGCTGCCATTGCCCTGCAAGGATGGGACACCAAGGATGGGGTTGTTGAGCCCTTGGTGCCCCATGGGGACAGGGGGCAGCCTGGGATGCAGCATTTATGCTACAGGAATTCCTTGAAGCCACGAATTCCTTGATGGCAGCTTCCATAGGGGATCTGGAGATGGGGCTGCATCCATCCCATCCCCATTCCGAGCACAGCCCATACAGGGCAGGTGCACAGCACATCTGTGCTGCTTGCCCTCGGTGAGGGGCTGCCATGGGGAGCAGCCCCAGCTGCCTGCTCCCACCACCCCCATGCCCAGGGAATCTGCCTGCACTGTGACCCCTCCAAGGGCTCCCATCCCCAAGTCCCCTTCTTCCCATGGGTGGGTGGCAGAGGGAGTGGACGTCGGTGCCTCGAATTCCTATAGGTGCCAGGCACCTCCCCAAACCCACAGCCAGCTCTTCAGGATTTGGGAGCGGGGGGCTTCAGCTTGTGTCCCCTCACAGTGGAGGCTTGGGAGGGTCTCAAGAACAGGGCAATGATTCTGGGGGGGCTTTGTGCCCTGGTGAGAAGCGGCGCTAAAGGTCCAGATGTCACTTCTTTGGGGGGCAGTAGGAATCAGGCATTGTGAAGGATGCTGGAGAAAGGGCGTAGGGATGGAGCTCCCAGCCCTTCACCCCACAGCCCAGTCCTGCCACCACCACACCGTAGCTTTAGAGCTGTGCCTGCACAGGGACACCCTGAGCTCCCCCCGAGACCTCCGGCCCTTCCAGCACTGTACAGTGACCGTGACACGTGGCTCCGTTTTTATTGTAACAAACCTCCAGAATTAATAAAAAGACCACTTTGGTTACTCCGGGGCAGCGGCCACCTCCCCATGGGGACACGGCTGGCGCCCGGCTCGCCTTTCCCTGCTCTGTGTGATGCCCTTCGTGTGCGTGGAGCGGGCACGGGGGGGGGTTTAAGGGGTGGGCATGGGGGGGGGGGTTCATGATCCGTGGGGGCGAGAAATCACAGACTTACAGAACTTACAGTAGGGATTGGAAGGGACCTCTAAAGCAGGCTGACTGCTCTGCCTGGGGCAGGGGCGGGCAGCAGAGGGGCACCCCAGCGCGGGCTGCCCGCGTCTCCGTGCGCAGCTCTTCCCTCCAGGTCTCCCGTCACGGTTTTACCCCACGTGCCGCCCACCCCCGCGTCTCCCTCTGCGCGGAGCTCCCCCCGCTGCCATCCCACGTCTCACCGCACGGCTCTCCCCCCACTGCTCTCCCTTCGGCTCTCCTGCCGCATCTTTCTTCCCGCAGCCTCCCACCCGCGTCTCCCCGCTTCTCTCTCCGTTTCTCCCCCTTTCCCCTCGTTTCCCATCCCGCTCCCCGCTCTGCCCGCTAGGTGGCAGCACACACCGCCATGCGCCGCTCTGGCCCCGGTACCGGAAGTAGCGGTGGCGGCGGCGGCGGCCGGGCCCGGGTGAGCGCGGCCCGCACGGAGCTCCGTGTCCCGCAGCCGCTGCGGGGCACCGGTGAGCGCCCGCTCCGGGGTGCGGGGTGTGGGGAGGCCGCCGGGCTCCGGGCACCGCGGTGTAGGCCCAAGCGGGGCTCGTTGGGCTCGGCCGCTCGTCTCGGTGCCGCCATGTGGTCCGTGCTGTGGAGCGCCGTGCGAACCCACGCGCCTTACGTCACCTTCCCCGTGGCCTTCGTGGTGGGTGCCGTTGGATACCACCTGGAGTGGTTCATCCGCGGCCCCAGCCCGCCGCCGGCCGAGGAGGAGGAGAAAAGCATCTCGGAACGGAGGGAGGATCGAAAACTGCAGGAGATTGCGGGCAAGGACCTGACCGAGGTGGTGAGCCTCAAGGAGAAGTTGGAGTTTGCCCCTCGGGCGGTGCTGAACAGGAACCGGCCCGAGAAGAGTTGATGGAGCTGTCGGTTCTGCCAGCTGAAGCTGAGGACTCCCAGCTGGCCCTGGGCTGTGCACAGCAGCACTGTGCTGGGGCTCCTCTGCACCTGCACACCTCTGCCCACCACCCCGTCCTGCACCTGGCTGTGCTCGGGCTGTTCTCTGCCTCTACGTCACCCTCCCTGGGCTCTGCAGACCTGTCAGGGTTTACCTACCCCGTGAATGTCTCCAGGACTGCAGCCGGACCCTGTCCTCCACAGCTGGTGGGGAACGGGGCAATGGTTTGGAGATGGAATGTGTGAAACTCACCAGCTCTCAACCCATTCTGGCCCTGGCAGCACGAAACCTTCATGGCTTTATCCGCCACACGTGTCGCTTTAGGTTTGATTTCTTTGTGGGCATGGAAACAGAAGAGATCTGCTCTGTACTGTATGTTTGGACCTGAGTGATATGGGGTAGGGTAGGCTGACTGCAGGGCGAGGAGGACCTGCCCTCCTACTTCCATCTCCTCTTGCTCTTTGTGAACCCAGACTGGTTTGCCAGAGACCTCAGCACCTCACCAACATGTTATCACCATGAGACCCAGTGTCCAGTGGGGATCCGAAAGCTCTCTGCACCATCCTGGGGCTTTGCAGCAGAGAAATGGACCAGGAGGCAGACATCTCGGCCCTGCATCCATTGTGGAGCTCAGAGGTGTAGAGAATGAGAACTCTTGCTTTGCACAGGCACAGCCAGATTAAACTTCTGTGAGTCCTGGGCCTCAGTGTCGTCTTCTGCATTGTCAACTGTCTGAAACCCTGACTCAGAGCATGTTTCTGCTCCTGGTGTTTTCAAGAAACCCCACTTGGCATGGCTGGGGAGGGGTGATGGTCAGAAGGGTGGAGGAAGCACTGAAATGCCAGGCTGTGTTGCTGTGTGCCTCCCTCCCAGCCCCCCCCAGTGCCACGTCACCACTTCCCCTCAGCGTCCTTATCTAAACCAGAAGGGTGGTGACAGCGCTGGGTGGGGGCCCGAGGGACAGGAGCAGGAATGTTTGGTGCCAAGGGGCGAGCGCTGGGGTACCTGAAACCAGGCCAGGGCCAGTGGTGTCCCCTCGTGCCACAGGAGTGTTGCCAGCACAGTGGGACGAAACTCTGAGCAGCATCAGCCCCACTCTGTGCTGTTACTCTGCCTGCAGCATGGGGTTATCGCTCTCTCCCGGCTTGTTTTTCCCTGCTCATGCAGCTAGCCTTCTCACCCTGCCCCAGCCTGGCCTTCCCCTCTCGGGGCCGATAAATCTGTTGTGTCTCATGCAAAGCCCTGATGTCAGCAGCCAGTTCAGCTTTTTGCATTGCTCTGTCCTGCTTCCTTCTGCCCCGCTGACAGCTTTACTGCCCGGGCCATGTTTACCTCCCGACCTGCTCTCCTCGGGCTGGCTTGCTGCCTGCTGGCTGAGCTCTCCACCAGGAGCTTGCCATCTGAGGCTGTTTGTGAGAGAAATGAGGCAGGCAGGGCCAAGAGGAGCTGCGTGTGCTGTGTGGTGGCTGTGCTCAGCACTGCCTGGACCTGAATGTGCAGGAAGACTCTTGCGGCAATGCCCCAAGCCCAGTCCTGCTGTCTCCCCATGTTCTGGAGTTCAAATGCCTCTCTGTCCCCCTTGCCGAGAGGCCCTTGTACTCAATCTCTGCCTTTCCCAGCCCAGCTGGGAGCGATGCTGGGCTCACTGTTGTGCTCTGGGGGTGGGAATGAACCCTTCACTTCCCCCACCTGGGACCAGTCGGACCCAGCTCGGAAACCTCTTCTGAAATTCCTTTGTTCACCCTGCGACGGAGTGTCTCCCGTGGCTGTTTATAGCCCATTGATCTGCCTGTTCTCAGGCCCGCAGGGCACAATCGTGCTTTGTTGGGGCTTTGTTGGCCCATTTCCTGCCCCCAAGCCCACACAGCCTCTCCGCTTGCTGAAACAATGTGTGCAGAAGGATGGGCCACGAACAGCATCTGTGTGGGTACCACGAGCCCCGCAGTGCATCCCCAACCTCTGCAGCCATCTATACCTGCTACCTGACCAGTGCTTCCACGTTTCCAGCTGGTTTCTGCACCAGCAGACCACTAGGGGTGAGCCAGGGCATTGGGGGCTTTCTGCAGACCGGTTACAAACGAGGGAAAGTGCCACAATTCTCCTAAACCCTTGGTGCTGCAAACCCACCCTTCCTCCCATTGAATCTCAACAATGTGCTGCCTGGGAATCACTCTCTGGACAAGAATAGGAGTCGGCGAGAACTCAGAGCTGGGAAAAATAGCCATGATATCTCACTAGGAGCGAGAGGAAGCATTGCTGAATGCACCATTATGGTAAAAGTTGGCTTCCAGCTCTCGTGCACCACAGCTCATGGGCAAGACATTGCTGTGGTCCAGCACAGGGGCTGCTGCTTTGTGGGAGGATGCTCTCCTTCATCAGCACAGGACCCATCTGGCTTTGAGGAAGCCCATGTGGCAGTGGGCTGTGCTCCAAGCAGGGATCAAATCCAGCACTGCCAAAATGTCACTGTGCTTGGGGTGCGCGCTGTGCACGATGCTGTGCAGCCAGGGCTCAGCTCCTGAGACAGGACTGCACGATATCTGTGTCTCCTGGTGTTCCACAGGCATTTCATCCTTTCTTTCAGAGCAAAGGACTCCAGACTGAGCGCTCAGGGTCTGCAGCAGCCACCATCCATGGTCTGGTGTCCACAGGCCACAATGGCACTGGGGCCACTGGCTGTGCTGGGACTGTCCCTGCCAGACCTGTGGTTTCCTCCCCACCAGCTCCAGGGGCAGCTGTGCTCCCTGCAGAGCCATGCTCTGGCTGTGGCTGTGTTTGCTGCTGGGGGTCCCTCACAGGTGCGAGGAACAGATTTTGGTTTCCGGAGGCAGGATGCAGGGATGGAGCCAGTCTGCTCTGCTGCCCTCCCCACTCTGCTTCCCAGCTCACACTGCTGGGGGGGAACGGAGACCCCAGAGCCCCCCCAGCTGCTCTGCACAGCTCACCACACCTGGGCAGCTGCAGAGGATGTCCGGTGAGCTCAGTGTGGGGACACGCCAGCTGTAGATCTGGGACTCTGTGACCATGTGGTGGCACCAGGGCTGCTTGGAGCAGCAGGGCCATGAGTGAGTGACGTGGCTCTGCAGAGCAGTGCAGGGACTCATGGGGACTCCCACTCACATTTCCTGTCCTGGGGCAGCACTGTCACCCCAGGGCACTCGGGACGTGCCGACAGCCCCGAGATGCAGAGGTGTGCTCACCCCAGAGGTGCTGGCTAACGAATGGTTTGTGTCCCCCAGAGTGTCCCTGCATTCCTTGGGGACCTCTGCTCCCTGCCCTGGTGAACCCAGGCTGTTTTCCCAGGCTCCCATCTTGTCCTTTCCCAGTGTCTCAGTCCCTCTGCAGGACCCACGGTCCCACAGCATAGCCGCATTGTTGCTGCCGGCTCCAGCCAAAGCCCTGTAGAGCCTTTAGAGAAGAGCAGCTCCACTTTAAACAAGATCCAAGGCATGGGACAGCAACAGGGGACACATCCCACTCAGTGTCACCTCTTCATGCAGCCACAGCTCCCGGACACCATCCTGGGGTGGGCATGGGGGTGCGGGTGCTGCTGCAGCCCCACTGCCTGAACACGAGGAAGCGGCTGGAGGGGAGCGACAATGTCAGGATGCGGGAAGTCGTCGAGGCTATTGAGCGCGTTTCCTCCTGCCTGTGGTTCTCACGCGGGTCTCAGGGGCCACATTGTCTGCTGTGCCCACGCGTGGAGGCTTAAATATAACCCTGCAGGGAGCTGCATGGGGTTGGCTTTTCCTCCTTAGGGACTGGGCTGATAGAGGCAGGGTTGTGCCACGGTTGGTGATGCCATCATGCTACTGCTGGGGCTCAGAGATGCATCATTGCTGTGGTCCCAGCTGGCATCGCCCTGCCCAGCCTCTGCCCTTCCTCCTTTCTCAGCTGCAGTTTTGCTCCCGCTGCCGCCGCTGCTCTTCCTGCGAGCAAGTCGGATTTAGCAGCTTGCTCTTTTCTCTGCGCTGGGAAAGCTTAAAAATAAACTCCTTGGTGCTCGGCCAGCTCCTTGGACAGAGTCTTGCGGTGGGATGAGCTGCAGCAGTCTGTACTGCTCCTGCCTCCAGCCTGGGCTGTACTGTGCAGAACCCAGTGTGGGCTGGTGCTAACTGGTGGCCCTGGGACAGTGGTTGGTGTTCGGGCAATGGCCTCAGCAGGAACTGGCGTCCTGGGCAACGTGTCACCCCTGTAGGACCAGCTGAGCACCCCTAAACCCTTCCTGGATCAGGAGGTGCTCAGAGTGGACACCCAAAAGCTGTGCCCAAGGGATGCCTCTGCCTGGGATCCCTGAGCTCCACGTTGTTTGGGTGCACATCCACCTGCTGGTGCTCCTCCCTCCCTGTTTCTTTCACACCTTGAAGACATCACATCACTCTATTGGCACTCACTTTCTTCCAGGAGCTATGGGTGTAGGAACAGCAGCAAGTTGTTGCTTGCACTCCATTAAAGAAAACATGCACATGGGGCACGGCATAGGCAGGCTCACAATGAGACTGTTTTAGGGGCTGCACCCTTGAAAAAACCTCCAGCCTTGGACAGAGAGAAACCCCATAGGCTCTGACGTGGGACTTCCCCATCCCAGGGGAGACAGTGGGGGGCAGCGCCCAGAAAAATGCCCATCCTGGGGTGCCCACGGGGAGCTGCAGGACTCAGCACCACGGCACAGGGCTGGGCTTTGGGACAACGAGTGCTGTTCCCAGAAGGGGACCGGAGGGGGCTGTTTATTCAGGAGGCAACGCAGAGGTGTGAGAAAGGCCGTGAATGTCTGTCCCGCTGCTATCTGTCCAAAAGGGCTCCTACGGGCCAGCCAGCACGCTTATCAGCTGCAAACTTTTATTTGTCTTAGGGCTGCCCGCCCGCCTTCAGGGGGTCCCACGCCTGCTCCATCCCCGCTGCCGCGGTGCAGGTGAGCTCTGGCTGTTGTTGTTGGCGCGTGCCGACGAAGGTCCCGGCGGCGCGGGGTCACAGCAGCCACCATTGTCACAACACGGGAACAATAGCGGTGTGCGGGGCCGTGTTGTTGCAGCACGTGGGGGCCGGGCACGCGTGGCTCCGCTGGCTCCATCAAGTGGGCTTGCGGCCGTCTTGTTTTCCACCTTGCAGGGAAAAGCGTGATGATCTCCTGGTGCCAACAAAAATATCAGCCTGGGACAGCGAGGAGAGCAAACAGCGGCTGCCCGGCGGTAAACACTGTGGGGCTGCGCCGGTCCCCTTCCCACTGGCATTTCCTCCCCACAGAGCATAGGGCTGCCGAGCTCTGCTGGTGCCTGAAGGGAGCCAGCCAAGGGCACCCCTTGGGAAGGCCCCTGCAGAGGGTCTGTCCTGGTGCCCCACAGCACCCCAGCATGGGGGTTTGGGGATGCTCCAGGCACGCGTTCCCATCCCCATGGAGGGAGGGAAAGCAGGGAGTGGCTTGGGCACAGCTGTGGCTCTGCACAGTGCCTCCCTCTCTGCTTCCTCTGGCAGCGATACGGCCCCGTATCACCCATATTTCATTGCCTGTGGGGTATTTTTAGCCTGTCCCACCCTCGCTGAAGAGGCCCTCAGCAGAGAGCAGCATGCTCTGCCCTGGGCTCAGGCCGCCAGGGAAACCAAATAGGGCCCCGAGGCACATTGTGCTCCTTTATCTGCAGCTCACTTCCACCTATTATGCAGCAGCTCTGTGGCTTCCACCAGGTTTATCTGCAGCAGAGCTGG